TATGTTCACCTGAAGTCCTATCTTCTCTGGATGCTTCTTCTACCGCCAACTTGTTGCTTTTCACTTGCATATCTTCCAGTTTGTGGGAAATCAGACAATAATAATAATAATAAAGCTTTATTTCAGACAATATGCAAACACGGTACAAACATTTTCAGCGTATTTAGTTCCAAAATACAGGATTAACAATGTAAAGTAATATTTTGAAGTGTATATCTTCATTTCGTTGAAGAATTGCACAACGTATTACTTGGAAGCAATTTCGTGTATAGGTCATTTAATATAACTGGACGATTAAAACAATGGAATTCAGCATTTTAGTGATAAGCAATTTCGCTAGCTCAGTAATTTAAGCAGGCCGCCTAATAATAGATATTAGAAAGGTGTCGAGGAAGAGATAGGCGCTGTGCATACCTCTTTTGTACATAAAAGTCCTGCCTAGGTTGATGAATATTCAAGTTTGGAATGAAGTAATCGCGGCAAGCTAGCATGAATTCTTTAAAAAAATCATTGTACAGCCTTGATAATGAATTCGTTGAAAAGACTGTCTTCGTTGAATATTGTGTTCTTAATGTCATAATGACATGGAAACTGTGAAAAATTATAGCTGAAACATTCTTTACCGTAACGCTCTGTTTTTAAAATTCACCATTCGTTGTATTGTGGTGAGAGCTGGCTGCTAGCCAAAATCGGTAGATGGTTATTTACGTCAGTGTTTACGTCCTCAATATTGGTCGTGAGAAAAATAAGAACAAAGACTGATTCAACAACAACCAACCACAGCAGACTTTGCGTAGGCGGATACAGTTAGCATATAGATGATCTGACATTCAAGAAACACCCACAAAGAGATGAAAGATTAACTTTCAGTGAGAAACAACCACAATCAGAAGACTGTGTTTTTCTGCTAACAATAATCTATAATAATGTACATGAAAATCTATAATAAACGATCTGTTGCCTGGCCCTTGTCTTCTGTTGTTACAATATAATGCCAATGCAAGAGGTGGATAAGCTACCGAGTTTAGCCACCTCAATGTGCATTTATACACTTAGCTGGAGACAGATAGAATGACTCGGAAAGCCCACCGTTGCCTTCTTGAGCCATTGTCGAACGTGGGGAGGTCAATCAGGGGCTCCATATTGACACACACCTAGTGGATACTACGGATCACAAGACACAAGATTGATAAAAACTTCGCCTTTAGGATTCTATATCAGGTGCCATCTCAATCCCCCAAGTTTGTGTACGCCTTTGACAGTTATGCATAACCTGGGCAGTTGCCATAAAAAAATGTTTCTGCACAATCTTTGTTTTCAAAAAAAAAAAACGTTTGTCCAATCCCTCTCCCTTCTATGACCGACCTTCAACCCCGACTTAAAATAGATACCCTGGTGACATTGGATAACTGTAGACATTATTTTTTATTTTTATTTGTACTGTTAACTTTACTATCAATATCATACTGTACTGTAGTGGTATATTTCAATATTAGTTTCACAGTTTATTTAATTATGTACATTCTCCATGATTATATTTGGTTCTGTTAATCCACATTGTTTCAAATGCCTATGAATAATATTTTATTTTTACGAGTTGATCACGGATTGATACCAGTTAGAGAACCACTGGAAAACCTGAGAGTACTGGACAGCTGTTTCAGCTGCCTAGTTTGGGAATCATCGATAGCACGCACCCATGACCAGGGTTCGAACCCAGGACCTTCAGGTTATAAGGCAAGCTGGCTCGTATACCATTCAGTCACTGGGACCCTGACTCATTGGCACCAGCACATGAATTCTAACTTCTACCAATTCGTCAATTTAGCGCGACTACCAACTAATGTCATTGGTGGGACATCCATTCTCACTCACACTTGACTGGACGGGCCTCACTGGTCACGACTTCTCACTGGAACTCCAGAAAACTCCATCCTGGGGAGCATCAGATTAATTTTGTAAAAATACGTATTTTCTTACTTAAATGGTGTTCTACAATGGAAATTAATAAATTATTATTTCCTGTCCTTTTCACCATTACATTTCCACTCCTTTTGATGAAACTTATGTTAAATTGACTCTCTGAATCATATAGGAGCAGTGATTTCATATTAGTGTTGAAAACGGAGATCTTGTTCTTTATGCGGAGTGCGGTAGATTTCCCCCCATTGATTTCAGATTAATTGAAGGTCTGACTGGCTTTTGGGATCCTGGTTTTGATATCTTCATCCGTGACGTCTGTTTGTAGTTGAAACGATGCTGCCCAGCCGGTTGATTACCGATGAAATCTCAGCACGGATACACAAGACTCGTTTGCCGTTTGACAACTTGCGCCACCTCTGGCGTTCTATCTTCCGTGTTAAGTGGTAAAATAAGTTGAGCAATATTGAGGTTAGGCGTCCAGTGCTAGGTAAGGAGGGGAAATCAATAAACGAGGTTGTGAAGTTACATCGATTGAGATGGTTAAGACATGTTACGCATGCCTAGCCATCACCTTCTCCGACGGCCGATGTCAGCTGACATAGGGTCGGGTTGGAATGAGCCAGTGGTGGTCAAATGGAAACATGGCATTAGTCAATGAAATTCACAACAGTTAGCTTAAGCCGGCCATGTTGGAAGGTGTAGAGTGCTGTCCGTTTAAGGTCCTTGGGATGGTAAGAACCAATAAAAACTGAAGACAATCGGTGATATGGCTGGTAATCCTTGTTGTCAATGGGGCAAAATGCATTCACACTTTGTTATTTGTCATATCCAATAAAACTCTGTTGTTCTTCTTCCATATTACTATTCCTTTTCTGTACACTTCTGTTTATTATCTCTCTTTTTACTGTCTTCTCTTGCTTTGTGTGCTAAATGGACCTTGGCAACTTAAACTGCTGTACACTTGTGCAGAGTTCTCTGTGTTAATTAGATGGTTGGAGGCAATCGGCAGGCAACCTTGCTTGACGTAAGTTTCGTGCTAGTCGGCATTCACCAGTCAATCAGCCAGGTGTATCTGCAACATTGAAGGAACTCATGGCCCAGTGCTGCAGTCAGAGACGTTACTACTGAGCTATTTGGGCTCGCGATTGACCCCCTTCCTGTAGGACTGTATTGGACACTTTAATTGGACACTAGTTACTGGTGTCCAATCAAATTAATGTTCTATGTTGAAATCAGTCAGTCAAATGGAAGAAATAACTTTAAATTTCTCTCTTTGAAAGTGATTGTTGCTGTTGGTTTGGTGTCTTTACCACCTCTATCTTCCCTATGTGTTCACTTGAAGTCCTGCGCTTCTCGCTGTCTGTCTCTTCTGTCAACTTGTTAGTTTTCGCCTGTAGATCTTCAAGTTTGTGTGACGTGAAGCTCGAAATAAATCGTCTTCAAAGTTCAGATCTTCTGGAGGGTCTTCTTGTCGGCCCAACGTATGCCAGTCTTCTCACTTCCTACAGTTTTCTGCTTATCCAGTCCACTACAATCAGGAATATCATTGAAGATAGTAAGCAGTCTTGTCTTCCTTCTGTTTTCATTTGAAACTCTTTACTAAGCTTTCTGTCGTGAATCACTTGTTGTCGCTGAAATCGCTTCTTTAAATTGATCAAAATTGTTGAAATAAGAATAGAACTTGTGCATTGTGGTAGAGTATAATGTCATTGTAAGTAAAATTTATTTTGATAAAGTCTCACAGTAATATTTACTGATGATCATGTTTCGAGCACAATTTATCACGGCTAATAATCATATCAAGACATTACTCACACAACTTTCCAACTTCGTTTATATAATTCCATTATTTCCCATCGCTTGATTTGATTGATAGTAGTATTTTCCATATTTCCGGTATGAGTGATGAGTCATTGCATCCTACTGCACATGTTAGGTGTAGATTCGATGAACAAGGATTCAGTAATCAACCTCTCTCTGCACCTACCTAGATTACTTTTTAGAATTTTAACCCTCTCCCACCATATTGTGTGGTTGTGTGTAAATGCATGCGGTGCAATTGCTGAGCTTCTTTCTAAATTACTTATCTTCTCAGGGTCAACCATTCTTCCCTTAGCTAAATTCTTATGTTCCGACAATCTGACTACTCCCAATCTATTAGTTTGACCTATGTAGTTGACTTAACTCACAGTCATTGCAAGGTATTTTGTAAATTATATTAATTTGTCTCATTGGGTCAACTGGGTCCTTTAACCTACAGAGCTTGTCCCTGAGTGAGTTTGTAGGTTTAAACGCCACTCTAATTCCTGCTTTATTGAGAATCATACTACACAGGGCCTCAGATATCCTCTCATTATATGGTGAAACTGTAGATACCTTATTTTCTCTCTTATTTATGTTATTATTACTGGTTTCACCATTATTTTTTCTTGGCCTTTACTGATCTTCCTAATGAATTTTATAGGATAGTTATTTAACATCCACGCCTTTTTTATCTGTTTCTTTTCATCATTTAGGTCTTTTTTTGTACTACTTAGTACTACTGCTCAGTTTGTTAGACACTTAACTAAGTCTGCCTTAACAGTTAACGGATGAGATGAATTAAAGTCGCAATATCTATTAGAATGTGTTGGCTTTTATAAACGCAAGTGTGCAGTTTACCTTCTTCTATTCGTTTTATTTTACAATCTAACATCATGGCTAATTCTCCTTGTTCATTTTCGGCTTCAAATGTGAATTTTATTCCCTCCACTAGTGAGTTTATGTGTGTCAAGAAGCTAGAGATATGTTATGTTTTTAATACTGTGAAAGTGTCATCCACATATGTATTAAGAGCCATATTTTCCCAGCTGTCCATAAAGATATCTGCTACGATAGGGGATATTAGTGATCCCATTGCTACACCTTCTGTTTGTCTATATATTTTGCCGTAGAGTTTAAAGACAGTAGATGTGAGGCATAACAGAATTCTTAAAATAATTTTCTCAATGGACAGCTTCGTCCTATGAATAAGTTCAGGATTAGCAGTCAGTTCTCTATTATTTTTTCCTTTTTCAAAAATATATACGTATATATAGGTTACAATCACCGCCAGTGGGGAATACATTATACGTGCTGCTGGTGAAATTCACTTACAAAAGTGTATAGAAGATTTAGTCAAGTATTTTGCACCTGATGTTGAATTACAAATCTCTCCATTTGTTGTACCATTTCGTGAAACTATCATTGATACATGCTCAACAATGAATTCACCTTCAATAGCTGTATTATCTAAATTATCTTACGAAAAAGCTCGTGCTCAATATGAAAGTATACTTCAAAAACGTAATTTAACCTCGGAGTTAAATTTTAATCAACTAGAGAAATTGAATTTGAATTCACCGCCGTCACCACAGCAACCGTTGACAACATCACCCATTAAAACAACAACAACGATAACAACAGTAAATATTGACAATAAAACAAATGATAATTTAAGGCCAAGTAATACTACTAACAGTGCTATCAGTAGTACTCATAATCATTTGCATAGCATATCTAATTTTGCCAACTGTGATATAACCGATTTCCCGATCAGTGTATTTCAACTTCCGCATAGTAAGCCAAGAACACGAATTCTAATCCGAGTTACTGCTCATCCAATGCCAAGTGAATTATTAAATTGGATTGAACATCGTGGTTCATCAAAAGTCTCTCACCTAATTCGAGCATTTAAAAGTAAGGTAAGTAAGTTGAAAAAATTGATTTTCTGGTTGGTTTTTTTTTCTCATTCAGAAAACATATAAAAGTAGTGTGAAAATGAAAAAAAAACAAAAACAAAAATAACGGGCTTGAAAATATTCTAGAAATTTTATTTAGGAATGAATATAGTGTTAAAAGTTGTTTTACTGACAACTGCTTGCATTTCCATGCCGAGTTGATAATGAACCCTACCTATATTGTAGGTTTGTGAGGGGTGGGTGGGGGTTGTCAAACCTTTGTAGGATAAGGTCGGTCGGTCGGTTTTCGACATAGAACTTTGCACATATGTGCGGCAGTTCAAGTCACCACACTCCATGTAGCACATAAAGGAAGGGAAGAAAGTCGGAGAAATGCATAATATAGACAGTAAGTTGAGGTGTGAGACAAAGGAGTAGTAATGACGAAGAACAATATAATTTCATTGGGTATTATAAGTCACAAGGTGTGGATGCATCTGCGCCACTGAGAACGATTTTGAGTCATGTCACCAATTGTTTCTAACCATTGGTTTTTACTGTCTCGAGGACCCCAACCGGTCAGGAAGTCTACACCTTCCTACGTGGCTTAGACTAACTGTTGTGGATTTCATTGACTGGTGCCATGTTTTCGTTTGACCGCTGCTAGCTCTTTTCCAGCCCGACCATATGTCAGCTAACATTGCCCGTTGTCGAGGAAGGCGATGACTAGGCGTACGTAACACATCTCCTAACCATCTCAGTCGATGTAATTTCACAGTCTCGTCCACCATTCGGGAATACTAGACAATTGTTTCATCCTTGTCTGGGACTCTTCATCAGTACGCTCCCATTGGGATTTGAACCCAGCGCCTTCCAGTTACAAGACAAGCCTCATAGACTATTCACTCACTGGAACCCAGATCCAATCAATGGCCCATCAATTTCAACTTTTACCAATTCACGATCAAACCTAGAACCAATAAATTGCCAAGATCATTTTGTTTTTTTATTCACTGGGAGGGAAGGCAGCCTTACAAAAACCAACAAAAATTCAATGAGTGACACAACACATTACTGGAGAATAAATTCATAGAAAGCATTAGACAACACGTAGGGTAAAGTCGGTTTTGAATTCGTGACTTGTTATTTGGAAACTGACAGCCCAGACCAATATGCAACAGTCATACAATTATTTTTTCTCTACTCGTAGTTTGGAATGCATCTGAGCAATCTAAAGTGCTTCCATTACTTTTTCATAATGTTGAATTAAAGTTATGTGAAATGATTGAGAAGAAGTCATTAATATTGATTTTGTGACCAGAGATTAGTGAGTGCTTCGAAGTAGATGAGGTTAGATTTCTATTCAGACTAAATACATTTTGATTTTTTATGTAATCATTTAAGAAACATGTTCTTTCAAATGACACTGGAATATTCTATAGATTCTACCTGTATATTTGTCACGGCAGGTGGACTTGTAGATACAGTGGCGAAGTGCAGCTTATAGAATCTCGTCCTGGCCCTATAGCTGATATAGGGCCAGGCTGGAAAAGAGCTAGCAGCGGTCAAACGAAAACATGGCACCAATCAATGAAATTTACAACAGTTAGTCTAAGCCACGTAGGAAGGTGTAGACTTCCTGACCGGTTGGGGTCCTCGAGACAGTAAAAACCAATGGTTAGAAACAATTGGTGATATGGCTCAAAATCGTTCTCGATGGCTGGCGCACATGCATCCACTCCTTGTGACTTATGATTTCCAATGAAACTGTTGTGTTCTTCGTTATTACTATTCCTTTGTCTCACACCTCTGTTTACTGTCTATATTATGCATTTCTCCTACTTTCTTCTCTTCCTTTGTGTGCTACTTGGAGGGAGTGTGGCGACTTGAACTGCCGCACATATGTGCAAAGTTCTATGTCGAAAACCGACCGACCGACCGATGTAATTATTAAGAAACATGTTCTTTCAGACGACACTGGAATATTCTATAGATTCTACCTGTATATGTATCAAGGCAACTGCAGGTGAACTTGTAGATAGAGTGGCGAAGTGCAGCTTATAGAATCTCGTCCTTTTAATCGTAGGCACAAGAATTGCAAATGTCTGAAATGTAAGGAAAAGGGATGCAGCGTGAAATATTCGCTGATTGACAGCTGATTTAACCCTTTTGAGCTATCAGTTGCATGATTTTGATCATCGTTGAATGGTAGTTTAGTAAGGATACATACAATAAAGTTTTCAAGATATCCATTAGTCACGAAAGCTGAATATAGCTCATCCATCAATATGTTGTTTGGGCAAATTCTACAAACCCTTGAAAACAGGCATTTCACTAGGGTACGTTTGTAGTGGGTGGGAACACAAATGCTGAAGTGAGGATTCTGTTCACTCCATATCTGCTTGCAAAATGTTGGTCACTTAATTGTTCTGTCTTCCCGCTTAGTTATCGAAGTATCCAGGAGACCCAGTTTGCCATTCAATCCTAACTCTGAGGTCAATCGAATATTTGGATTTTATTTTTATCCCCTTGCGTTTCCAGCGGAACATAAGGCGGCTTCAAGCTTTAGCTTTGAAGTTTCAGTAGCAGTGGTGCTAGCCTCACGCCCAACCTTCCCTCTTTGCCGGGAGTGTAACCGGCTAAGGGAGGTAAAGGTGTGCTCCAGCCGGGACTCGAACCCCGGACTGCGTGCATGATCAGCCAGCTCTCTACCGCTGAACCACCGATGCGTTGGTGTCGCTGCCAGGATGAATATCATTAAATAGAGTAATGGATTTGTCAATCGATTCATCACTGTCACTAGTAGTGAGCGTATCAAACATAGCAGGTTTATAAAGCGTAAAGTTTGCTTAGCATACCTCCCGATTCTTTCTGTTATCAGGGGCCCAAGAGGTCCTCCCATTGCAACACCAGCAATTTCCTTGTTGTTCCATTGAGAACGATTTTAAACCATGTCGCCAATAGCTTCAGGCCATTGGTTCATAGCTTCTCGAGGACCGCAGTCTGCACTTTTCAACATGGCTCAAAAGAGCAGTCGAAGACTTCATGGATTGCTGCCATGTTTTGATCTGACCATCCGTAACTTAATTTTTTTCCAACCTAATCCTACATCAGATAACATTGCTTGACGAGGGAGGCGGTAGCTCAGCATGCGTGATACGTCCTAGTCATCTGAATGTATTCACCTTCACAACCTCATTGATTGACTTGCCCTGCTTACCTGGCACTCTACGCCCAACCTCAATATTGCTCACCAACGTGTGAGGTAGAACGCGAACGTCTGTGGTCAAAGACAGCTAAACTTTTCATGTCTTTCACTTTATTATTATTGTTTCCTTTAATTCCTAGGGGGACATAGGGCTTCAGCCGTACGTCTCCATTGCGTTCGGTTCTCTGCTAGAGTTTTCACCTGGCTCCAAGTCTGCCCACACGTTTTCATCTCCTCTTCACATGACCTCCTCCAAGTCACCCTTGGACGATCAACTCGCTGCTTCCCTTTCGGGTTCCACTCGAGCAATGGCTTGTCTAGTGATGTCACTTGATGGTTTCCTCAGAGTATGGCCAGCCAATCCATCTCCATTTCTTCCTGCGTATTTGTTTCACAATCGGTTCCTGCTGTGTTGGTTCGCTCCCAGAGATCTCTGTTGCTGATCTTTTCTGGCCGGCCATCTGACCTAGAGTATTGAGCGAAGGCAACTGTTATTGAAGGTCTGTAGTTTGTTTGAGATGCTCTTTATGACGCGCTGGCCAAGTCTCTGATCCGTATAGTAGCACTGACTTCACATTGGAGTTGAAAATCCGGATCTTATTTTTGATGCTGAGTGCTGTTGACCTCCACACAGACTTGAGAGTAGTGAAAGCTTGTCTTGCTTTTCTGATTCTTGCTTTGATATCCTCGTCAGTTCCGCCTGTAGTTGAAACGATGCTTTCACTTTCAATGGCCATATTTTACAGCTATTAAGAAGGACAGGGCAGTCGTATCTGGTTTTTCTTACTAATGTATTAAATGCGACAATTACCTAAGCTAATTTTCACCAATAAGAGACTTTTTAATTTTATTGTGATAAACGAATCTGTTAATTTGTGTTGTATAAATTTCACTACTAATTTCAGTCATATATATATATTCTTATTTTTCCCCATTAGGCATCAAATTACTCTAAACTACTGTTGGAATTTGAACAACAACTGTTAAGTGTATGCTCCGAGTTAACCTCTAAATGTAGTCCAGCCTGTTCTATTAACTGGAAACAAATCACATCCTCACTGTTAGCATTTGGACCAAATCAAATAGGACCAAATCTACTGATAAGTCATTTAAGTAGTGATACATTCCCATTGTGTACAGCTTGGGGTAAAAAGTTGACCACTTCATCAACTTCTAATAGTAATGATAAATTCTCAGATAGCGATGTTAAAAAGACGTATAGTCTACCATTGGTGAGTTATGGGAAAGCATTACTTCGTGGATTCCAACTGGCCACTTTAAAAGGCCCACTGTGTGCAGAACCAATGTATGGTGTTGTATTTGTACTGGAAGAGATTGTTACAGAATATTTGAATGCTTTAAAGTTACCAGATAGTACTGATGGTACTACTACTATTAGTAACAGTAGTCAAGATAAGACGCAACAATCCGATCCAAGTTGTCAGTTGTCAGCGACGACTCCACCTCCTGCAACACTGCCTACTTCAAGTGATTCAGGCGACAATCCAGTTTGTACTACTACTGCAACTACTACTGCAACTACTACAACTACTATTAGTTCTGCAAGACGTCGTCGTAAATCGAAACGATTGACATCAATTTCATGGTTAAATGATTATGAAGATGATGATGATATTGCGAATAGTTGTCATAGTAGTAATAGTTCAGAAGATGAAACTGAAGAAGATTATGCTAATGATGACGAGCCAAATGAGGACTGGCATTCAAATTCCTCATCGGAAGACGAACAAGAAGAATTAGTAGAAGATTACCAGTCTGATGTTGAGAATACAAATGCAGCTATGTTACAGGTAAAAATTAATTAATTAATTTTCTCTTCTATTTTTGTATCATCTGTTTTTCTTATATACGCCTACCTACCTACCTGCCTACACGCGGCGTGTGGGGTGTTCTTCACACAAGAGAAAGGATGAATGCGGAAGTTTGGTGCTTACAGCTAGACTGGTGAACATGCTGTTCTACACCTTGGGGAGGATGAAAACTTCGATTCCAAACCTGTGATGTATATGGACTCCAGAATAAGGTATGAACCTGGTTTGGTCACGACCAACTGTGAAAACGCAGCTCTTGACTCTGCTCTACTACCTTATGGACCAGACTTCAAGTTGAGGGCTCGGAAGGGGTGGTTCCTTAAGATGGTTACCTGCTTTTGTCTAAGCGGTCGAGATAGCAGTAATAAAATAATCATTAAAAAACCAAATAGTTTGTTATTTATGTGGATTTCTTCACGAATCCACATCAGTTAGAGAATCATCGAAGATTAAGGAGCACTGGGCTTCTGTTTCATTCTAGTTTGAATCTCTCAAACAATGCAGGCCCACAACTCCATCAGGAAATTAATTCTTGGACTTTTGAGTTGAGATACCAGTCTGTTGGTTAGTAAATCCCCCATTCAGTTGGAGTGTAGTAGTGACATGTGAATTCTAACTTCTTTGACTGGACACTAAGTAACTAGTGTGACGTGTCTAGTCCTTTCTTTGGTGCAGACTGAATTCTATCAGTCAGGTTTGCAATGTGGCCACCATTCTAGGTAGCTCGTCATCACGGTGCACTTTGAATTGTAGATGTTAGATGGTTGGAAGCAATCGGCAGGAAGCTTTGCTTGACCTAGGTTTTGTACTAGTTGGCACTCACTAGTCAGTTAGCAAGGCGTATTTGCAACCTTGAAGGAACTCAAATCCCTTCTGAGATTCGAACCCGCATCACCCAATGCTGCAGTCAGAGACGTTACCACTGAGCCAGCTATTCGGGCTCGTGATTGACCTCCTGTAGGACTGTAGTGGGTACTATCTAATATCATCAAATTCTAACTTCTATTAATTCGTGACATAACCTTAACGTCAACCGACGGTATCGTAAGCATCTACTTCGCATCCGGTATGGTGGACTTCACCTGTCATCACTTCTTATTGGAACTTCAGGACATATACACAGTGACTAACAATGGGCGAGAAATTGAGGTTAATTGTTGGATGGTGACTAGCAGTGGAATTCAGGACAATGAGCATTTCGTCCTATTTGGGACTCGTCAACTGGATGTACCTGCATTCCTCAGTGAGTGGTGATGTTCCCACCCGCGAGGCTCGAACCCAGTGACCATAGTTTCAAACAGCAAAGCGTTTTCCACCATACCACTTGGCCCACAAGAGTCACTGCCTGTTGTGCAACGGGTCATATTGATTATTTCATTCAATTTTAGATTTTCCCATCGGGTCCCAGTGGCTCACTGGTCTACCAGCTGGCTCGCCTTGTAACCAGGAGGTCCTGGGTTTTAACCCCGGTGGGTGCATGTTGATGAAGAGTCCCAGACTAGTGGGACGAAACAGCTAGCTGTTCAGTACTCTCAGGTTTTCCAGTGGTTCTCTAACTGATGTCAGCTCATGATGAACTCCTCCATCCAATCAAACAAAATCTTTACAAAACCAATGCTTGAAAACTAATCTGTATACATCATTGTTTCGTTGTGTAAATTTTTTGATACTTATACTGATACTGAAGTGTACTTTCCGTTTCATATTGTGCTGTGTGTTCTCGCATAGGTAGAGCTGGGCTAGGGAAATCAAGTAGCTGAGGTATATTGTTGTTTGTGTTGTCAAAAGCTGGGGTATTTGTGATCACCGCATATATATATATATATATATATATATATATATATATATGTATCCTTCTTACTTATGCCTCTGTTCACCGAATGGATTAGTCTATTGATCATACAAGTGGCGGTCTGCTTAAATCACTGGGCTACCGAAATTGCTTCCCACCAAAATGCTGAATTTCATTATTGGATTTATCATCATTGTTTTAATCGTCCAGTTATATCAAATGACCCATACATGAAGTTGCGCGCTGATTTAACTTGCTTCCAAGTAATACGTTGTGCAATTATTCAGTGATATGAAGAGATGCTTTAAATTATTACATTACATGTAAATCCTGTATGAGGAAAAAAGTATTTTGGGATTAAATACTCTGAAAACGTTTGTACCAAATGTTCACATATTATCTCAAATAAAGCTTTATCATTATTTAGTTACAGGATTTCATCATGAGCTGACATCGGTTAGAGAACCTTTGGAAAACCTGGGAGTACTGGACAGCTGTTTCGTCCCACCAGTCTGGGACTCTTCCTCAGCATGCACCCACCGTAGAGGTTCGAACCTAGGACCTTCTGGGTACAGGCAAGCTAGCTCATAGACCATTAAGCCACTGTGACCCGATCCAATGACCAGTCCATGAATTCCAACTACATAGCGCGACCACTAGCTAATGTCTTCGGCGAATATTTCTCATCACACCCGACCTCCAATACCCTATTGGTCACGAATTCCCACCAGAACCCCAGAACCTCTGCCTGAATAGAGCTAGTCACTAGTGAGTATCTCATTAATATTCAAGTATTGGTTTGTTAGGGATTTAGTTGATTGATTGGTTACAGGATTTCATCTTGAGCTGACATCACTTATTATAATCTATTCAAGTTTTATTTGAAAATTTAGCTCATTGACTCAAGCACTCAACTTTCAGACATATTAGATCCTAGATTCGAATCCTATTTCAGCCTGGGCACTCGGGTAGTATTGTCAATCTCTAACGTAAGAAGTCTAGTCATAGTCTGCTGCATGCATTCACGGGCATAGAACAGATTTGTTGGTTGAATTGTTGTTGATAGATAACCATTTTTTGCTGTTGATGCCTGTTTTCCTCTGAAATATGTAATTCTAAATTCTTATTGTTAATAAACTCTCTCTGTGTTATCTTGATTTGTTTTTTATATTGTATTTTACCCTCTAGAATACCAAACCTGAAGCATACTTCGATACAACAAAAGAAATACCCTATTGGCAACAACGACAAGATATATCATGGTTACATGATATATCACCGGGACTTCTCACCTCAGCTATGACAAGAGCCTGTATCACTGCATTTCAATCGTGTTCATGTCAACGTTTAATGATTGCTGTTTATGATTTAGAATTACAAGTATGTTATTTTTTAAGGGGTGGAGGAGAGTTTATTTTTCATATGTTTCTAAAAAATTTTTCTATTCCTTCACGTTCCCAGTGGAAAATAGGGCGGCAGCTTCAAGCTAGAGGCTTGAAGTTTCTGTAGCAGTGGTGTTTATTTTTACAGGGTGGGTTTGCTAACCTCATGCCCAACCTTCCCTCTTTACCAGCCTTACTACTAGTTTAGCGGGGCAAATGAGTGCGTTGGTGGCTGGGGATAGAAACCTGAACCACTTGTGGCGCGGTTGGTGAGCATTCTACTGCTGTGCCACCGACGCTTCTAAAAATTAACTTTGATGAAATTTCGATATCATGGCAAACGATGATCATCTCTGTTTTTGATAGGGAAATATGAATTTCATGAATAATCTTCATCCCAAGATGAATGGAAAGAAAGCCAAATAAGTAGCTCGGTGAAGAGGCCCTTTGTGGACGAAGTCATTTTCCTTTTTAGCTATACAATAGCGTTTTTACATACACCTTTTTTTCCACGAAAGGGAGAGAAGTAACAAAAGTAATGAGTTGTCATCAATGCGTACGGGGAATTGAATAAGAAGCGTAGAGTTGCATAATGAGGTAAATAATCATTCAGAATGCATATAGAAACAAGGGGAAATAAGAAATTACTTTAGAGTTCTCTATCTTGGTGTTATTCCCTTTCGTTCCGAGTGTAACATAAGGCTTCAACAACACATCTCCACTTTGTTCTGTTTTCTCCCGTCCTCTTCAGCTGGGTCCACGATTGACCAAACTCTCTCATCTCTTCCTCACACGATCTCCTCCATGTCACCGTCGCACCGACGACCCACTTGTCGCTTCCCATTTGGATTCCACTCGAGTGATGGCCTGCACTGCGTGTGATATCATTCGGTGGCATTCTCAATGTATGCCCGATCCATCTCCATTTTCTTCTACATATTTGTTGAGCGATCGGCTCTCACTTGTTGGTTTGTTCTCATAGTTTCTTGTTGCTTATTCTCTCTGACCGGCCATTTGATTTTCAGTATGGAGCCAGCGAAGGTTTCAGCTGTTGGTGAAAATATGCTACCTGTTGGAAATCCTTGCCGTGACACGCTGGCCAAGTTTCTGACCCGTATAGAAGAACTCACTGACTGAACATTAGTGTTGAAAATGAGAATCTTGTTCCTTATGGTGAGTGATAGCGGAAAATTTCAAAACTGCTTTCAGGTTGATGAAGGCGTATCTTGCCTTTCCGATTCTGACTTTGACACCTTCATCCGTTCCGCCTGTAGTTGAGACGATGCTTCTCAAATAAATGAAGAAGGTGACCTCTGTTAAATCTCTCCCGTTAATGGTGATCAGTGCTGGTTGTTGCTGCTGTTGACTGGTTATCTTCATCAACTCCGTCTTCTCTATGTTCACCTGAAGCTCCGTCTTCTTGGCACTGCTTCTTCAGCCGGTTTGTTGCTTTTCGCTTGTAAGTCTTCGAGTTTGTGTGACATTAGACATATATCATCTGCGAAATCCAGATCTTCTAGAGTCTTCTTATCGGTTGCTCAGCGTATTCTTGACATTTCCCTCTCAGCAGTCTGACTCATAATCCCGTCCAACACAATTAAGAATATCATCGGTGACAGTGGTGGGCAGCCAGCTTGTCTTAATGCAGTGTCCACTTCGATCGCCTCGCTGAGTTTTCCGTTTTGGATCACTTGACACGTAACATTTTCATATAGCCAGCTGTTGAATGAGGTTGACAAAGACTTGAGCACTGCACGCCGTAGTGTTGAAGTAGTTTCCAGATTACTTCTCGGTGTACGCTGTCGAAAGCCTTTTGGAAGTCTCTCTGTCTAACTGACTAGAACTTCACCAATCCAAAGGAGACGAAAGTGTATTGTACTGTGAAAAAAAGTGTTTGTTGCGATAGAATGACTAGTGTCGATGAGGTGTTTAATTATCCCACACACACCCTTTGGAGCCACTACTTACGAAAATGAATTCGCCAAAAAGAGTTTCTTCGCTGAACTACTTGTTTCATTTTTTTCATTAAATTTTAATCTCACGCGCGAAATGTAGCTCAGTAAAACAGAGATCTTTACGTATCCCTTTTGTTGCACCTTTCAGTTGAACATAAAGGGATGAATACTTGGCAAGGGTTACAGGTTTTTGACTATACATATCTTTTCAGCAGTACGCTTCCACCGTAGGGGTTCAAACCCAGGACCTTCTGGTTACAAGGAGGTTACAAGAAGGTCCTGGGTTGGAACTCTTACGGTAGATGCATACTACTGAAGAGTCCCTAACTGGGACGAAGCAGATGTCCAATACTACCTGGAGGTTTTCCAATAGTTCTCTAACTGATGTCAGCTCATGATGAAATCCTCCAAATATGCATATCTTTGTTCAGTTTTCCACGTTAGATGAAGTAAGATTTATTGATTAGTGCCGGAATTAAACTTGTAGAGTATTAGGCAAGAAAGGTAAGTCGGTCGATAAAGTGCCATCACTATGTGTTAGACCCACAGTATTGTTGTTGATATTATTATTCCTCCGGGTTCTAAGTTTAACATAGGGCTTCGACAGCATGCCTGCATTTTGTCGTGTTATGTGCAACCCTCTTTAGCTGGCCGCACCGATACTCATGAGCTTTCATCTCCTTCACGTAACCCTCGGACACCCAACTGGTTGTTTCCAACTGAGGTTCCACTTGAGGACCTGGCTTGTGGTGTAACCTTACGGTCTCATCTCTCTGTGTGTGTGTGTGTGTGCGATCCATCCCCTTTTCCGTTGGTATATTTGTTGAGCGAAAGGTTCTTGGTTGGTTTTTTTAGAGTTTCTTGTTACTAATTCTTTCCAGCTGGCCATCTGATCTTCATTATGGGGGCAGCAAAGTAGGTAGCCGTTGATAAAAGTCTGCAGTAAAGTCTGTTGGAAATGCTTTTCATGATGCGCCCAATTTCCGACCCAAATAGAAGAAATGACTTAACGTTTTTTTTTGGTTGAAAAGCCGAATTTTGTCGCCCTGTAATTGAAGAAAGTGACCTCTTTCAAATTTCTTCCGTTGTTAGTGATTGGTGCCTGTTGTTGTTGTCGTCGTCATTGGTTAGTAATCTTCATCTTCTCTATGTTCACGAAATGCGCGTTATCCTGGATTCCACTGCTAGTCATCATCCACCAATTAACCTCTAATTATACATGCCCAGACATCGTCGAAGCATCTGCACCAGAAGCCGACAGACATGTCAACCTGAGACCGAGCACTTCGATGCAATCAATCGACGGGGAAATCTAAAATTCAATTAAATAATAACTAATATGACCCGTTGCACAAGAGGCAGTGGCTCTCGTGGCCCAAGTGGTCTAGTGGATAACGCTTTGGTGTTTGAAACTATGGACACTGGGTTCGAGCCTCGCGGGTGGGAACATCACTCACTGAGGAATGCAGGTACATCCAGTTGACGAGTCCCAAATAGGACGAAATGCCCATTGTCTTGAATTCTAGTGCTAGTCACCATCCACCAATAAACCTAGAAATCCATATAGATGAATATGTTCTTTGTGTTCCGAGTGGAAGATGATAACGCTTCTGTCCTTGAAGTTTCAACAGCAGAGATGTTGCTTTTATTATCGATTGGGTGTTTCTAGTCTCACACTTCCTTCTTCCCTCTTTATCATGGACTCAGTCAGTAAATTAGGCAAGGCGAGCTCATAGACCATTGGATCGGGTCCCAGTGGCTCAATGGTCTACGAGCTAGCTCGCCTTGTAACCAGAAGGTCCTGGATTCGAACCTCCGGTGGTTGGTGCGTACTGATGAAGAGTCCCAAACTAGGACGATAAATTAGGCAAGGTTTAGAAGTGCATTTTCCTATTGAGCCACTGATACCCAGGATTGATTTTCTCTATATCTCTCTCTCCCTCTCTTTATTCACATTTTAGGCTCGTTCTGATGTCCTAGGACGTATGTTTGGTGTTCTCCGGCGTAGATATGGTCGTGTTGTTGGTGAAGATTTTCGTGAAGGTGAAAATATCTTTGTGATAAACGCTCGACTACCTGTTATTGAAAGTATTGGACTAGCAGATGAAATAAGAAAACGTACCAGTGGTATTGTCAGTCTACCACAATTACGTCCTGGTGGTTGGGAATTATTAGATATTGATCCATTACAACAGCATAAAGATACAGTCACTTCAACAGATACGAAAGAAGACACATCTCATCATCATCCTGTCGTCTGAGAACAGCAACAACAACAACGACAACAACAGGGAAATATTCATCACGATCAAAAGTAGGCGGATTAAATGTTAATACTACTGGTGGCAGTGTTGTCACCGGTGATGATGGTACTGGTGAGAATCTGGAGGAATCAACAAGTCAATTCTCTAGAGTACAACGATATATTCGTGAAGTAAGACAACGTAAAGGTTTACCGTTAAATGAACAATTGGTGCTTAATGCTGATAAACAGAGGACATTGAAAAAGAATAAATAAATAAATCTCTTTCTTCCTTCTATATTTTATATAAACAATAAAATCAGTTGTATATTATGCATATATCTATCTATCTACCTATCTATATATTTCACAAGAAATACGCTTCAGAATAATAATATTTTTTCAAAAAATAATCTTATAAATAAAGGTGATTTGTATTCATAAAGTGTACTGTTGTTAGTCATCCATCCTTCCTTCCTTCCTTGAATAGGACTTATCTGCCAGACGCGTTCAAAGCCTCTGCAACGGGGGTATTCCTCACCTACACATGAAAGGGTGAATGCCAACTTACGACCGGACTGGTGAAAATACTGGTCTAAAGTTAGTAAGAGCCATTGGATTTCTACCTTCGTAACGACCGTGAACAATGGTGGTGGGTGACAAAAGCGAAAGAGATGGAAAAGGCATCGGCGATTGGTAACACCAGACAACTATTTAGGCTTATCGAGGAAACATGTGGTAAAAGGCAAATGATAAGTGAAACAATCTCTGAGAAAAATGGCACCATAATTAGCTCTCAGGATAGACGACTGGAAGGCGGGAAGGAACACTTTGAGTAACAACTTAGTTGGCTGACAGTCACGCTCAACTTACATTGCATCCAACACATCCCTGAATGGGATATAAACACAGGTCGTCTGCCCCAAACTGAGGTTACTAAAGCTGTCACTAGTCTGAAACGATGCAAAGCAGCGGGACCTGATGGAATAACTTCAGAGGTGTTTAAAGATGGTGGAGACAGCTTACTGTCTGCGTTAACTAAGGTACTAGGCGGCGTCTGGGAATCAGAGGAAGTCCAAGCGAGTTGATGTAAGCCATTGATTATCCGATATACAAGAAGGGAGACAAGTCTTCCTGTGATAATCACAGGGAGATTACCTTGATCAATGTGGTACCTAAAGTTCTACGCTCAATAATAATGCGTAGACTAAGTGATGCTTAGTGGTACTTAGAAGTGGCTTAAAAAGTAAAATTAAAGTTGTAAATTACGTGGTACTCAACGGCACAAAAGAAGAAATCGTTAGAAATTTGATAAGGTTAAAATTGTTATTGAGTGAGAAGAAAGGTAACTGAGCGTCCATTTAAGAAGTATGAAGAGGGTGAGAAAACGTATAAAAAGAACATGTGAGAGTGATAATAATGAATTAAATTAAAAGCAAAGTAATCATTGAAAATAAAAATTTACAGGAAATGACCAATGAAGTTAGTAAGACCATGGTAGAATAAGAGACTGGAGAGACCTTTTCTTTATACAGAGTTTGGGGTTGTACTGCCGAATCGCCAACTCCTCCGCTGTACATAAATGCTGAAACCAGAAGCTCTCTATCACTTAGCCTTGTAGATAATCTTGGAAGACGACTCCGGTGAAGCTGTATGGCTTGAATTCACTAAGTGTTCGAGAATTGAACTAGTAATTGTCTTGCATTTTCCTTTAGTTAACCATGGCAGATAATGTTCAGATATGCATTTGCATAGTGTGCGCTTGTTGCAGCCAATATAACTAGCTCTACACGAGCAGGTGAATTTATAAACACACATTGAAGTGGCCAGTCCGAAGAGGCAGTTTCTCCAACACACAACCACTATTTGTCAGCTGTAGAAATTTATCCGTAGCTCAGCCGAAAAGAAGGCTTTCATCAGTGATCTGAATAAGCGGTTCTCCAGAATCTCAGATGCAGTATCACCTTTAAATTCAACTTTCACTTAGGCAGTGTCTGGGTTCTTTCGGGAAAAATCCATCGTGCTTAATTAGTTTCCAAAAATCTCTTATATTACTCATACTACTAATGAGTAGTTTGAAGAAATAAATCAAATTTATACGATTGGAAGACCGAGTTAAGTTGACGCATTCTGCAGAATACATTTCAGAAAATCTGATGATACATTTCTTTATCAATTCATTTTAACTGAAAAATAAAAGGGGAACTAGAGTAAAAAGTATTAAGGAATTTTTAAGAGTAAGGAGGATTTCCTTGATTTAGTTTGCTGGGATTTTATTTGTGATTCAAATTTGTCCATTGATGGATATCAATTAGATAACCAGTGAAAACCAGGATGTACAGGGCAGCTGTTTTGTCCTCTCTGGAGAGGGGGGGTCTTCAGCAGGACGCAGTCGTCATCCCACCAGTGATCGAACCCAGGATCGTCAAGTTACCAGGCGGGCTTGATGGCTATTCAACCACTGAAATGGAATCTAATGCCCCAACAATTCTACCTTTTACCGATCCATTAACCTATAAACTACTGGTTGATTGAGATGAATAACCATCTGTATACCACTCATATCAACGGGTCAGATCGAGGTGATCTAAGCACTGATTCAGGATATGTATAAAACGAACGTCAGCCAATGTCATCGGCGTTTAGTTGACTTTACACCTAACTTGATAGGGCAAAGTTCAAGAATAGCATCCCAAGAGTGCAAACGCTCAAATGACCTTGAACGCTTGCCAGTCGTTGGTTGAAGAAACTTACCATTATTCTAGCGCGAAAATGAACGGTGTTCATCTACTGAGATGCAAATTTCAACCAGATCACGTTTTTCAATACTGCTTAAATAATGGATTAATAGGACGTACTCGGATATGTAGTTGTGGTGCTTCTATGAACCCGCAGGCGTATACCCAAGTCATTGACGGATACATATTAATATCTACACAGTGTAGGAAACGAATAAGTGTTCGTACTGGTAAGTGAAACTCTCAGTTAATTGTTTTCTAGGAACTTCTTTGAAAAATCTAAACTTTCATTGACCAATATCCCGTTTCTGTGGCATTACTGGATTTTAATGTTCAGGGTGACATCAACTGCGGCTCAGACAGAAAAAATGTTAACATCTACTGTGCAATGGTTCCAGTTTTGTCGAGATTTAGCGTCGTGGAAAATGAATAGTATTACTCAAGTGTTAGGAGGAGTCGGTGTGGTCGTTCATATCGATGAAACGGTCCTTATAAAGAAGAAGTACAATCGCGGACGAGCTAGAGCTAACAACCTTTGGGTTCTGGAAATTTACGACACCCAGATTCGTAAAGGATTTATTGAACTTATTCCAGATAGGAGTGCTGATATATTCCTCCCTATTATTCAAAGACTCGTCTTGCTAGGCACTACCATTCACACGGATGAATGGGCAGGATATAACCGATTATCGGAATTGGGATATATACATCATCGAGTTAACAATTCAGATGACTTAGTCGATCCCAGAACTGGTACTCATACTAATTCAATCGAAGGTTTCTGGGGAAGACTAAAAAATAGAATCAGAGCTATAAATGCATCTCAAAACCAAGTTATTTCTAGTCACCTAGATGAATACATGTATAGGAATTGGTTTAATTTAAAAACTGACACTCCCAATTATTACTAGGACATCCTTTTATTTCATATTAAACAAAAATACCCTGTTTAATGCTTTTTTTCATACTTTTTTATGTAAATATACGTGAAATTTTATGCAAAAATCCTCCCATTTTCTGATTGGTCGGCTCAAGGTCACTCGTGCGTTCGCATCCCTTGGGATGCTATTGTAGAACTTTGCTACTTGATCGAACAATCTGGTCATAACTTTTCACATGAATATCAGGCAACTCCATCCTATATGCAGTCAGTCTTAAGTATTTTATTAACTATCCAAGATGAGTGCTGTTAATTCATAATTACTGAGACGTTGAAATCCTCTACTCAAACTCAATATCATTTGTTAGTTTATCATGCAACCGCGTTTATCGTCAGTGGAGTCCCATAACAGATACTTATGTTGTTAAACTGTTAACTGTAATGATTCGAAATCAGCAAAGTTGATATATATATATATATATAGACTTAATTTCCTACATGTTATTTTTACATGCCTGTTTGTATTTCTCTCAGCACACTTATTGATTTATGACCAAATTTTCTCTCACGCTACTTATGACCTTTGAAATCTTATTGGTTGTTCACTGTCTTTATTTACCAATAACATGAGTGATTCTCAAGGTCGTTTTGAACATATATGTAGGCAAGCGCTGTCAGCATTTTTCGGACTGTTGTTTTGAGACAGTAAAAGCTCTCTTATCAATGTTCAGTCTTCTCTATCTTTGCGGCCCGGCGGTATTATTATTGTTGTTGTTGTTGACGTACAATTAGGTTTTGTGTTAGAAATGGTGCATCTCAAGGGATACTGCAATCTAGTGAAGGATGCAGTTTCTAAAGAAAAACGATTAAGTTGTTTTTAATCAAAACCAAATTGTTTGGTTTAATAAATTGTATAATAAGAAGAAGAAAGCGGTTGAAAATAAACCGGACAAGAATGTACTGTGGAGATAATACTAATTTACGTGTTTCATCATAATTGTGATACACGTCTTCATGCCTATTTCTACTTTTATCGAAAGATGACACATTGACTGTGACTAGCTTCCCGAAGGCTTTCACCAGCCTGATCATTCCATCTCTCCGAATCCAGCGAAGAATAAGTCCACATTTCTTATGCTTTTATCGAGCTTTAAAGTTTATATAGCTGCTGGGTTGATTTTCTAGTATAGGGTCTGTCAAGGAAGTTAACACTAGGTTCCTACTACTTGCGAAGACACTCCGAATCGATAATTATTAGGTATGATTATCGACTTTAACTCCAAAACACAAGAACTTGTAATAAGGAAATGTACTCTTCAGCAGTTAAATTCGATATTTCATACATAGTCTATAAACAAATGTTTTACAAATAATGTACTGCACTTTTATTCGTATTCTTTCGTCTTCTTCCAACTTGTACACGATTAAATCATTCGCACTTTCGAGCTGCCCGACAATGGCGACTAAGGCCAATGAACCAACGTTCAATGTTCACGTTCATTTACAAGGTCGTTAGCCCCTTGCCCGACCTCTCTTTCTCAGGATTTAGGATTGGCTAATAAACTAGTAACAAACCAATTAGGAACCAGTCTCAGAACAAATGTGCTGAAGGAAATGGAAGTGGATCGGAAACACGCTGAGAAGAGTTTAAAGTGACATCACACGCCAGGCTGTCGAGTGGAATCCGAATGGAAAACGATGATTTGAGCGTCGGTTTTAGGATGACATGTACGAGATTGTGTGAGGAGGAGATATGGACATATGGGTCATCGCACAATCAGATAAAGAGGACTCCAATGAACAGGATGACATAGAGATGTTTTGTTG